GGCTGAGGACTTCTCTGACATGGGTGGGCTGGTGACCCAGAAGCTGATAAGGGGCTGGTATAGGTTAGATGTCACATGACCCCCAAAGCTCATGTGTGAGACAGTGGAAGAAAGTTTAGTGGCAAGATGATTGGGTTATGAGAGTTTAACCTAATCAGCGCATTATCCCTTAGAGGGATTAACTGGGTGGTGACTGTGGACAGGTAGGGTGAGGCTGGAGGTGGTAGGCCCCTGGGGGCGTCCTTTGGGGCATGTATCTGTCTTGATGTTGGAGCTCTGCTTCCTGATTGTCTTGTCTTGAGCTGCTTTCCTCCACCCCGCCCTTCCACCATCATGTTTTGCCTCACCTTGGGCCCAGGGCAATGAAGTTAGCTGCTTGTGACCAAGACCTCTGAAACTGAGCTCCAAATAAACGTTTCCACTTCCAAAATTGTTCTAGTTAGGTTTTTTTGGTCACAGCTGCAAAAACAGGGACTAAATCCGGAGGGCTTCGAATGTAGTGCAGATGCAAAGCAGAGCATTGTTTTCAAATTCTTGCTTTAAAAATCTTTCCTTGTTAACTGTGGGGAATCTCTCTTGCTTCCTTATATTTTCTTAACTTTTCTGGAGGTACCTGATACCTTCCATGCCTCACAAAGGTCAATGTGGAGAGCCTCAACCTTTAGTCACCAATTCTGGATTCTTAGAAAGTACTTGCAAACAGTTTAAGGCAAGCTTTCCTGTGAATGGTCATCACATCTGCATTACGCTAATTCTGCAAGGAAGAACTACCAAAAAGCAAAAACTAAAGACAAATGGGAAAAGGCTGTGTTGGTGACTCATGATACAGAACGCTGGTTTCTCTTAAAGTTAAAGCTCCTGCATTCAAGGACGGTCAGCAGCCCATTAGGAAAATGGACAAAATGTATAAAGTGTTTGCAAGAAAGAGTAATTACCTGACTTCAATATAAGAAGAGGTCTAACCTTGTAAGAAGAGATGGTAAATTTCACTTACGGATTGATGACCACCTTTAGTTTACTAGGGTTGCCACAGCCAAGCACATGTTGAGTATCTAATCTGAAATTGGAGGTGCTCCACAATCTGAAAGTTTTGAGCACCTGTCTGATGCTACAAGTGGAAAATTCTACTTGGGGAATCAATGGGTCACAGTCAAAATTCACGTCCACTGAAGTCATTGTAAAATCACCTTCAGGCGATGTGTATACACTGTGTGTAAAACAAAAGTGAACTCTGTTTACAGCTGGGTCCCATCTCTGAGGTGGTTGGGGTGTGTGTGTGTGTGTGTGTGTGTGTGTGTGTGTGTAAATACCACATTCCCCCAACTACCACCTCCAGTTCCAAAGCCAGACAGGGTGGCTTTTACAGAGATCTGTTCTCTTCATCCTCTGGAGACTGGAAATCCAGGCCATGGTGGGGTTGTTTCTGGGAGCCTTATCTCCTTGGCTTATAGGTGGCTGCCTTGTCTTCACAAGGTCTTCAGTCCTTGTGACCATGTGTCTTGGGGCTGAGGAAGTAGCTCAGCAGTAGAGCACTTGCCTGTCATGTGGTAGGTCCTGGGTTCAAGCCTCAGCGTTGCAAAAAAGAAAGAAAAGAAAAAATCCTGTGTGTCCTAATCTGCAGTCTTTACCAGACACCAGCCATATTGGATTAGGACCCAGCCTGATAGTGTCCTTGTAACTTAATTACCTCTTTGAAGACACTGTCTCCACATCCAGTCCTGTTTGAAGTACTGAGGGTTAGGGGCCTCACACTGTGAGTCTGGTGGTGGTGGTGGTGGGGGGGGGCAGCAGTTCAGCTCATAAAATAACAACAAAAGTGGAAATAACTGTCTCTGCAAAGGACAAGAATGCATCTGTTAAAGTTCTGATGGATCCCTGACCCCTCAGTTCTGATGGCAGAACGACAGATGTGTGAGGTTCTTCATGGACACCTGGCTCCTGATAGAGTAAAAACACCTAATGTCGCCAGAGCCTAGACTAGTTATGGCAAGACAAAGCAAGCCCTAGGTGGGTTTCCAGGGCATGCTAAGAAAATTTCAGTAAAAGCAAAAGCGTGCCATGTGTCTGAATGTTACCATTTGGGTAAAAGAGGAGAAAGATTTTATAGGAATTTGCTTGTCTGTGGGTCGGGCATCTTATGGACATATGTCCAGACATCTGGGGACAGGGAGGGGGGGGAAACTTCTCACTTTATGTACTTTGTTACCTTTCCAAAATATTGACTCCTGAATTTACTTATTAAATATTCATTTCCCTTATGAGAAAATTATATCATGAGGTCATTCATGATTATATTGTTTGAGGTTGATTTAAAGAATAAGACTACTCTGGTTCAGATTGCTTTTTCTTATACACCTGCTCATATTTCTTCCTGGAGAGTGAGCCGTGCTCTGTAGGTTGGAGGGCAGTGGTCTTCATGGGTCCTTTGCAGGCCAGGCCAGGCCCTCCTTTCAGGCCCTCTGGCCCCAGGCTTCCAGGGTAGAAGGCCGATGGACCATTGGTCCAGGTTTCATTTTGCTCAGAAACTAGTGAGTTCTGTTAATTGAGCCAGTTATTTCGAGGCATGTATGGGTAAGGACCTTGATGAAGCTCGTGACGGACGCTCTTTTAGTATCCTGAACTTTCACTTGGTCATCTCATTTTATTGTCTCTTGGACTGTGAGATTTGAAGTATCTACCTTTTTTTATGGATGCGGAATCTGGAGCTTGCCCAATGTGTCCAGGAGAGTCTGCCATAGTCCTCTAGCAGGAGTGGCAGTGGACAGTAGTCCCCTGGTCCTGTGGAGAGGCCGTGGATGGTACTGAGCCCTGTGTGTCCAGTGCATACGTGTGTGTGGTAAAATCAAACTTTGGCACAGTAAGAGATTAGCAATATGATGATAAATAGTTATAACAATATGCTGTAATAAAAGTCATGTGACGAGGGTGTCAGGGCTCTGCTCTGACCCCTAACTTCCCACAGCTTTGAGGGGATGGCCTTTCTTCAGGTCCCCGTCCACCTGTCACTCTCCTTGCTTGTTAGCTGTTCTTGTCCTTCAGGTGGTGCCCATGGAGCCTTGGGGACTGGCCTGAGAGCCCCGAACCATGACCGTTTCCCGGGGTGACTTTGAGTGGCTGCAGTAGTGTGCACACCCAGGGAGGTCGAGGGCAAGTGAGAGTAGGACTTACCATTTCATGCCTCAGCAGGTGCTGGTGGGAGTGGGGACCGAGAAGCAGAAGTACATTAGTCACGGGAGGCTGTGACCTGAACAAGGACTTAAGGTGTTTCCTAAATTCCCTGGAAGCTGGTGGGCCTGGTGTTTGGGTAGCATTCCCCCACCCCCTACCCGGAAGGAGCTGGCTATAACAGACAAGCCTGGGCTTTCTACAGCCCTGTCCAGGAGGAAGGGCGGGGCTTTGGCCTTCGGGCTGGGCGGTCAGTTGCCTCTGCTTCCTATGATTGCAGAGAGGGGGAAATCCCCCCAAACTTAGGATGATGGAAAAATAGGTCAGAGCTCCCAGCTGGGGCTTCCTTGAGAGGAAATCAGCCCAGCCGGAGGGTTATTTCATTTTTCCCTGGGTAGGTAGTTACCTCCCTTGTTGGGTAGAGGCTGGAAGAGAGCAGCAGCACATTCTCTGAGAAGGGTGGATCTTGGGAGTGTCCAGTGGAAGCGATGAGGGTGTGGCCACTGGTTTTGCTGTTTCAGGAAGCAGCATTGTGACCTTCCCCAAGTCTTTGAAATATTACTTCCCAGTGTGTCCTTGCACAACTAGCTGCAGAGGGGAGAGGCTGCCAGGGGACGTGGCCTCCCTGCCCAGAGCTTATCTTGCTGTTAGCAAATTTAATGCTCAGATAATAAAAGGAACGGGAGCTGAGTCAAGCAGAAGCCAAACAAAAGGGAGTGGGAGCAGAAATTGAAAGTTCCAAAGCCTCTTAGAGAAAATGTAGATTTCCTGTGTCATCCAGAAAGAAACTGGCCTTCCCTGAACTAGTGTGTTTCTGACCTTCAGATAGGATGTTTCTGAAATGCCTGGAGAAAGCAGTGCCAGTGAGCCAGTTAATCGAGATCTTTAAGCAAGTGTACTCAGGAAATGAAAGGAATGTTGGGACGGGACATTTTCTAGAATAAGCACTGAGACATCATGGGGCGTGGAATGGAAAGTCCTACTCTCAGCTGAACTTGCCCCTTCCAAGTAGGCACCTAGGACTGATGGCCGTTGAGCGCGTACCGTGTCTGTCCCCATCACAGGGACCCCCAGGCACCTCATTTGAGGCTCTGCCCTACCCCAGCAAGACGGAGCTTGCGCTCATTCGTCAGTGATCTGGGGCATTATAGCTTGAGCACGTGTTCTGCATACATTAGAACTCGGGCTGTTGGACTAGCTTAGGAAACTTAGTTGAAAAAGGAATTTCTTCCACAAATGCAGAGAGTGCCTCAGTGCCTCCTAACAGGGGAAGGCCGGCAATGTAGGTCACCTTTCCCGAGGAGCAGAGGACTGCAGTTGGCCTTTCCAGAGCTTCAGAGCAGCAGGCACTTTTTAGTTCCCTGTTAAGTGGAAAATATAGAGAAATAAGTCTGAAGTGGACGCCGGACCTACAGGTGGAGAGGGAGACTGCAAGAGCAAAAAGGCTGGGAAACTGGGACTCAGTCTAGAAAGGCTCTTCTGAGTCTTTGTAGTGACACTCACATGGGGACTGGGGAGGGAGCTGGTACATTCTGAGAGCTGGGCACAGTGCAGTCCTGAAGGGGACCTGGGGTCTGGTCTGGAGGTCTGGAACACACTCCCTACAAGAGCTGTGGCAGGGGCCCGGAGATGGCCGCTGCCCTGCAGGGTGTGGGAGGCCTCCTGCACGCTGTGCTGGGTGCCTGGCTCTCACCTAGACATGCTTTCCTTGTTGCTATGTGTTTATAAAACTTTCTGGATCCTGAATAACAGTGAAAACAATCTTTCCAAATATTTAAAATATTTTTTCTGGTTTTATTTTTAAAGTAACTTCTTCCTTTCTTGTTTCTGTGTAGGATACTAAATTGTGGATAATAATGGAATACCTTGGTGGAGGCTCTGCACTGGATCTAGTAAGTACGGTGCCGGTGTGACAGGCCCCAGACCTTTTCTTACTGTCCTGGTTTTGGAGATAATTCTGTATCCATTTCATTTCCCCTTTTTAAAGTTGCATGAAAAAGGAACCAAGCTATTCCTTACTTATTTTTGCTGCTTGCTTTTTATAGTTTACTGAAAACTATAGGTTTGCTTTTGAAACCACCTGGGGAACCAATGAATTCATTCATAGAAGCAGTGAAGCATTTTGCCTGGAATTATCTTACCTGAGAACAGCCGGTTAAAGTAATTTCAGAACAAGTTTGTTAGCTTTGTGGAGCTGATAACCATGGCGGCTTCATAATTCGGATGGTAACTTTGCTCCAAGTAAGCGCGTCACATTTTTATCTTGGAAGCCAGGGAGGGGTGTGATTGTTGAGGAATGGCATCAGATGTCTGGTCCTGCCAGGCAGGAGTGGCACACCTGCCCAATTTCGTCCCTTGCCAGCATGCCCGACGTGCTGCTGCACGGAGCAGGTGGGCCCAGCGGCCTTTCCCCTCTGGACTTGCCCGCGAGCGCACACAGCCCTCGGGAAGCCGGAGGAAGGTGCTTTGCTGGTTCTGTCCAGCGTGGCTCCATGCAGGTATTGGTGGAGAGCGCTCCCAGATCCCAGCCCTGACAAGCACGGCCTGGCTTAGGTCACTCTTGAAATGTAGGATATGCAAAAAACATTGCTTTTTAAAAGGAACTAACAACTAACAGTTTAGCAGTCAAATGCACCCCCTCCCCCCGGCCCCCAAGCCAGGCTTTTAGGTGAGTGTGAGCCTCAGCCCTCAGACAGGCTGGTCAGTCATTTCGGAGTTGGGCAGTTTTTCCTGACAGGAGGCTGGCCCCCTGTTTTTGCTGCTATCAGCATGAGGGGGATCTGGTGCACACAGTGTGCCCTGTGCTATCCCATTGAGTTTCTGAGGTGCTTTAGCCTGGGACAGGGAGATGGCACCCTCTTTCACCCAGAATCACCCTTCGATTCTGATAGTGAACTTGGGGGAGCATTCCTTTCTGGAATCAAGGTTCCTAGTGGGGGCAGATTCTGGGTTGGGATTTGGGTCAGAGAATGACGGGGATCTTCCCTTGTGGGGAGCGTGGGTGTCTTTGGAGCAGGTGTGCAGATGAATGGTGTGACATCCCTCCTCCTTCTCATGGCCCCTGCAAGGTGCTCATAACAAGTGTCAGGGCTGAGAACTGAAAAAGTGATCCTCCCTCTCCATTCTGCAGGCTCTCGTGGCCTCCAGAAAGTGATGCAACTTTGCCCCAGGTACAGATGGGCAGGCCTCCAAACCAGCCGGCAAACCATGATCTCCCGATCCTGGTGTACCAGCACATCTTGGGCCCCACGGGTCAGACACAGCTGGAAAGGCTAGTTGAGATCAACCTAGATCTGCTTCTGTAAAGTGCCCAGGTGTCATTCTGCAGATGGGTGCCCAGTTCTGTTGTCAGAGCACAGGTGTCTTCTTAACTGGCAGAAGGTTATCAGTGCTGATGCAGGGGTGTGTCCCTCAGAGTTCTCTTCTTCCTGGTGGTGCTTTGTATTTTTTGGCCTGCTGGGATTGAACCCAGGGCTCTGTGCATGCTGGGCAAGTGTTCTGCCACTGACCCTCCCAGCCCTCTGTATCTTTTTTGACTTAAAAAACAAAAACCAAAACCCAGGAAGCAGTGTGAAGAATAAAGAAGACAGCATAGCTCAGTAATTAAGAGCTAAGAATATAAAATTATCATATTTTATTTTGAATGTGCTCAGTGTGTTGATTTTTTTTATTTAAGAGATAAATAATAATTGAAATTAAATGTTTGTAAGAGTCCCCAGGATCACTCTGAAGAAGCATTGTATTCTTTGAAATATGACTTTGAAGTGACTTTTGTGACGACCTCAGAAGTCCCAGCTGCCCCCAGGTGTTGCGACTTAGGAGAGTGTCTTATGTACTACGCAGTTCAGTTCAAGGCGTTCCAGCTGCACAGGGTGTGGATTTTTGTAGCTCTGTGGACGAACAATTTTTTTGTTCAGGAAATATTGTTGTGTGTCCACTGTGTGCCTGTGCCGAGCTAGCCACTTGAATCCCTGCAGGGAACAGAGCAGCACACGTGGCTCTTGTGGCACGTGGTCTGAGGGGAGCAGCCAGGTGTGTGCAAGGTTGTTCAAGGCAGAGCAGGCAGAGGGAGGGCGGGGGTTGCGTGAGGATCAGGAGGCCCGGATGGAAAGGTTTCAGCTGATTAAAAGATGAGCCAGTATTGCCAGAAATCCAAAGGACAGCCTGGGAATCTAATTAAAAAGGAATTTTGCTACATAAATTGCTCACTTAATCAGGCAGAGATTTTTGACAAACTTAAAAATGAACATACAACATGATTTTGAAAGAATGAGATGGCATGTTCAGTAACGTTTAGGCCAAGCTGCTGCCACCGTGGCTGCAGAAGAGGGTCTCCCACAAGGGACAGATGGCCGTCTCTCCCCGCAGGGGTCGCTGTGGCCTCTGTCCTCTCCAGCTGCCAGTGTTTGGGGTGGGGGTGGGGGCACATGTCACATCTGTTCTGTGTTGAGAACTGAGTCACAAGCCACACATTGCTGCATGGCCTGGGAGTGTGCTTTGAGTTGGGTGCCTGTGTGCCGGGCTGATGGTCCTCATGGAGGAGGAAGAGGGGAGGACATGTGGAGGGAGGGGAATTAGGAGTCACCTAAAGATGGGATGGAGCCCAGTTTCTTCCCTGGCAGTCTTTGTTATTACTTCTTACTTGAAAAGCTCACAGTGCTCTTACTGATAGAGTGCTGATGTGTCTTGCGAAGACTGTACGGCAGTGGAGAGTGCTGGTGCGAGACTCGGAGAACTCGGGAACTCTGGGCTGTGGAGAGCCCTGAGTGACTTCAGGGAGAATTTGACAGTGTGCCAGTCAAGGTTCTCCGGGTCCGAGGCAGCGGGAGGTGGATGTGAGGGGCTTGCCAGGGCCGTGCCGCGTGGCTGCTGAGCTGAGTAGTCCACCGCAGGCCGCCTGCCTGCTGGGGACCAGGGGGTTGGTGTGGCCCAGTCTAAGTCCACAGGCCGAGCACCTGGAGCTCTGGAGTCCAAGGGCAGGAGAAGAAAGGGGACTTCGCCTGCCCTCTGCCTTTTCGTTTCTTGGGGCCTCAGCCAGTTGGATCATCCCCACCCAGGACTGGATGAGGGTGGGCTGCCCCTAGGCCCATTCCAGGGCCTGCTGATCCTCTGGAAGTGGCCCATAGACACTGCAGGGGTCATGCTTCACCTGTCTCTGCATCCCTCAGCCCAGCCACGTTGACACCTAAAATAGACCATGTGGAGGCCAAGAAGGATTTTACCCCTGAATTAATAGAACGCATTTGGTGCCCTCTCCCTCTGCCCCGTGAAGGGTGGAGTCAGGGTGACGAGGGGGAGGCGGGCCTGGGTCGGGCTCATGGCCAGCTGCTCCCTCTCCCTCTCGTGTCCTTGGCTCTTGGCTGACCTCCCGTGGTACCGGCACTGGGCTGTTCTGCCCCTTCTGGCCAGAGACTGATGGGAGGAGGGCATGGGCGAAGTCTTGGAGGAGGAAGTAGACCTGGACCCTGATGTCCTGCTTGGGTTCCCCTCCGTGTCCTGCTGTTGAGAAAGGAGCAAAATACAGCATCTCTCTTCTCCTTTCTTCCCTCAGCTGATGAGAGACTTCTTATGTTTTCCTCATCTGGAAAATAAAAATTCATAAATTCTGCAAACACTAAGTAGTAGGGAGGGAAGACTGGCCATGAGGCAGGGGTTCTACCTCAAGGTCTTTGTTAATTTCTTGAAAATGCAACTTTTGGTCAAATAACTTTGGAGAAAATCAGGTTCTGTGCCGACAGTCTGAGTTGGTGGCAGTTCCTGGCAGGCTAGTGGACACAAGCAGTTCTACCTTCTCTAAGCAGAAATAAAATGAAGACTAACTGGAAGCCACCAGCCCTCCTCTTCACCTGTGTTCTGAATGGCAGAAAGCCAGGAGCAGATTGACCCGGACGTGTATGGCTGCCAGACAGGCCAGACTGCAGGGTGTGTGTGTGTGTGTGGCGCAGCCCTGAGAACCCCCGACTTGGGGACGTAGCGTAGGCCCCAGGGCCTGGGAGATAACCAGAAGGCCGTGCCAGGCGGAAGGGGCTGCAGTGCAGTGGCTGGGGGCGGTCTCGGTTGCACCCACACTGGCCCACAAACCCTTCGTGGGGTCACGTAGGACATCCACTGAAGGCCCGGGACTCGCCAGGAGCATTGTGGCTTTCATTCCCTTTGGCGTAAAGCACGTTTGTAGTAATGAAACTTGGTGATCACCAGGGGCTGTTTGCCGGGTGGTGAGGTGCGCAAGCTTGGGCCAAGTTGGAAAGCTCGACGGAGCCTTGTGGCGGGGAATTGGGTCCAGCTCTCTAGACCTCTGCCCCTCCAACCACTCCTGTTAGGCCATTAGGGAGCGTCAGGTTGTTTGGGTGGTGGCATTTAAGTAATTGGGAGCTGTAACTGAGTCCCTGCTTTGCAAGTGATGGTGGACACGCTACCTGACATGAGCTCTTTGACCTGACTTCCTTATAAATGGGGACATGTACACGTGACGTTGCTTCTTTATGTCTTTCTACAAGAATGGATATTAAGGAGTGAACACTTTTTGAGTAGGAATAAAAGTTTGCAGAGGCAGTAGTAATTTTTTATTTGATAACATGCTTTTATGCCAGATCTTGAAGAATTGAGCTCTTTGAGCTATATCCCCAAAGCTGGGCCTCCCAGCTCATATCTAAGGCGTTCTGGTGCAGGGGTGGTCTTAGGGGAGGGGTGGGCTCCCAGGCCTCGTTTTTTCTGCCGGTTGCTTTTGGTTGCAAAGGATGAGCCTTTTAGGAAAAATAACCAAGTTCATTAGAGCAGATCCTGGTGCCATGTAAGTTCCTGGGCTTTTGTTCCCAGGCTGTGGGACCCTGCCCTTGACTCCCCACCACGGTGGGCCAGAAGAACAACCCTAAGTCACAGGCCAACTTGGTGACCCGGCCTTTCTCATCGGCCCCTACTTCATTCAGTAAAGTCATTTTTTCTAGTTCTATGCTCTTTTAAAGGATCCTTTAATAGATTTTAATTGTGTAGGCAAAATATCTGCTTTAAGTGAATATGTTTTTCAATTTTAATTATCCTTGTCCATTTAACATGGGCGTTCTCTCTTATCTCAGATTAAGCAACTGTGATACTCCTTTTTTCTTAGTTAGAACCTGGCCCTTTAGATGAAACTCAGATTGCCACCATATTAAGAGAAATTCTGAAAGGACTTGATTATCTTCATTCAGAGAAGAAAATCCACAGAGACATCAAAGGTAAGGGCCATCTCCTTCTTGGTGCTTGGAAACGCCTGAGGTGGTGGGCTCAGCTGCACTTCTCTGCTCTGGGGAGCCTGCTCTGAGCCTTCAGCCTGCCTGGACGGGGTTGGTCCGGGGGTCTGGAGAGATGCACAGCCCCCTGGGCCTACCTGTAGGCACGCAAGCTGGCTGGGGAGAGATCGCGTGCCACCAGGTGACCGTAAGTGGAGCGTTGCGTGTCAGACGCCTGCCTTGGTTTTCTCTTGCAGCCGCCAATGTTCTGCTGTCGGAGCATGGAGAGGTGAAGCTGGCCGACTTTGGAGTGGCGGGCCAGCTGACAGATACCCAGATAAAGCGGAACACCTTCGTGGGCACCCCCTTCTGGATGGCGCCCGAGGTCATTAAACAGTCAGCTTACGACTCGAAGGTGAGAGCCAAGGATTTGTCCTTGTGGGGTGCCAGGTCTCTCCCCTCAGGCCTGCAGCCTTGCAGCATTCCCCACCGTAACTCTGCGTCTCTGACCTCTGCTGAACCAGTTTTCTCCTGTCTCCTGGGCACCCTTGAGCACCTTTGTTGTCTGTTCATCCAGCCACGGTCACTGTGGTTTTTAGCTTAGCGTATGGTTTGGTGGGGACACAAGGAGGGTGTGCAGTAACGGAGGACCATGGGGTGAGGTAGCATCCAGGTAGCGAGCAGTGGAGGGTGGGCTTGTGTGCAGAGAGGAAGGGACTCTGCACTGGCGGGGGCTGAAGCCATGCGGAGTGGCTGAGGGACAGGACCTGCTCAGAGCTCTGTCCAGTCTTCACAGGGCCTGTAGAGAAAGGAGTGGAGAGAGGCCCCAGACATCCCAGGCAGGATAGGGAGAGAGCATCTTGCAGTGGTGCTACGGATTCTTCCTACGTATTTGGCTCTCAGTTACTGTAGTCTCCTCATCAGCACAAAGTGCCACCGCCTCTCCCAGCTCCTCTTACCGGCCAGGTTATCTTCTCCTGGTCTCTCCTTGTTCTTCTCACCCTTTGCCTCCTTCCCTTTCATTTCGTGGTACTGGGGATTAAACCCAGGGCTCCACACGTGCCAGGCAAGTGCTCCACCACTGAGCCACACCTCCAGCCCTTTTTATTTTGAGACAGTCTCCCTGAATTGCCCAGACTGCCCTCGAACTTGTGATGCTTCTGCCTCAGCAACCTCCCAAGTCACTAAGATTACAGGCGTGTGCCACCGTGCCCAGCTCCAGTCAACTCTTAAAACTTTTGGACTTTCAGGTTTGAGGGCTCAGGTGTCCAAGTGCAGATTAGGGTGATGTCAGTGTCTTAGTGTTCAGATTATCAGGGATGGGCGTTGGGGGACCCTTCCCCCAGCCTCAGGTGCCTCTGTGCCAACAGCTCTTGTCCTGCACAGGCTGCTTCAACCTTGCCTTGTGGCTCTGTGGCTGTCCTGCTGGGCCTGGGGCCTGGTGGACCTGCCAGGTAGCAGGGCTCCTGAGGTACGCGGCTACAGCTGAGGCCTCCTGATGCTTACTTCCTCCCCCTTTCCAGTGCCTCTTCCATGCATCCTTGTGGGTACCTGGAAGCATCTCTGGGCTGGATCAGCATCACAGGCGCAGAGAGTCTTTCTCATAGAAATCCCAGGCTTCTGTTCTGGTGGTTGCAAGTACATGCAGCCCGCAGCTTCCTCTTAGGTGCACATGCTGATGTCAGAGGCCGGGCGGGCTGGAGAGGAAGGCACGCACCTCCTCACGGCATCTTCCCCTTGCTGAACTGGAAGGATGTGCACCTTGGCTTCCTGAAGACGTCTAGACCTAGAATCTCATTTACACAATAACCTCCTGCAGGGTCTGTGACCCTTGTCATTTGGGCTGTTGGGTTGCTCTCAAAAGTGTCTACACACACAGCTTCTCTTATGCCAGTCTTTTTTTTTTTTTTTTGGTTACCAGGGATTGAACTCAGGGGCACTCGACCTCTGAGCCATATCCCCAGCCCTATTTTGTATTTTATTTAGAGACAGGGTCTCACTGAGTTGCCTAGCACTCACTGTTGCTGAGGCTGGCTTTGAACTTGAGATCCTCCTGCTTCAGCCTCCCGCCAGTCTCAGTTCCTAATCTTTGCACAGTCCTGACTGCTCATTGGCCTTAATAACCTTCATTATTACTAATATTTTTAAAAGGGATTAGGTAAGCTTTGCTGGTTTCCAGCTGTCCCCATATCTTGGAGACAGTGCTGAGCGAGAGAACTTGTTTCCCACAAAGGAGCCTTGGTCTAAGGCAAAGGAAATTTAATCTTTTTATCTTTTTAAGATTGTTGGGATGGTCTGTTAGCAAGTAGTTGAACTTGGTGAGGATGCTGCCCCTCCCTGTTCACAGCCCTTCTCTGCATCCTCTGTTTGGTCAGTCAGCTGCTGCGCTGTGGTTGTCCAGGGCTGGGTACTTCAGTGGTGGGGGTGCCCAGCTCCTCCAGGTAAGCAGCAGCCCAGGAGAGAAGTTGGGGAGCGGAGGATGGCCTCACACGAGCACTCCTTCCCTCCAAGGCAAGGGGATGGCACTCTGGGAAGGAGGGCTGTGGATGCCTTGAAGGGGGTAGAGGGGCTGGGCAGAGACCCTGGCCTGCGGGGACTGCAACAGCATCCTGGAGACACCGAGACTGGGGTCAGCAGTCCCCTGTAAATAGCTTTTCCCGGTTTTGGTCTCAGAAGCAGTGTGTTTTCTTTTGTGATGACCTGGAAAATTCTGAAAAATGAAATGGAAAGAAAGGAAAAATATCTGTAGATCTGCCACCCAGGCCAAGTTATTCCACCATCCAGGCATCTCTGAAATAACCGTTTGCAATCTCATTGTGGTGAAAAATGGAAACAGGTGATGCGATGATGGAAGAAATAATGTTATTCAAGCTGAGTGCAGACAGTGGGTTGTCTAGGGGGGACTGGGTGGGAACAGGCAGGCAGCCTGCCTCTTCCCTACCGACACTCCCACAATGAGCCTTACACCCTGGTCCCTCTCCCACGGCCAGGAATCACCCACGGTCCTGGGTGGGAGCAAGGAGCCCTGCAGGTGGGGAAGCCTGCGGGCTAGGAGACAGGTGGCATCGGGTTTCATTCTGGTGTGCATACTGTTGAGACCTTTAGGTCAAGCACACGTTGCTATTGAGTGCTTGTAAATATTTTCACACCTAGATCCCAAGTATAAACATGTTCCTGAATGTTGCATCTGAGTATATAAGTAGCTGTGTTAAATCCATTTTCTTTTGCTTAGTTTAGTTATAACTGTGACTTGGAGTTACACATGGTTTTTCTTCTTGATTATGGAGAGGTGATTAGGGTTCCTTTGAGAATGATTTTTTTATGCATAATTTTAAAATATCACTTAAATTGTTAAGTATCTTCAGATTTGTAGCCAGCTTGTTTATTGCACATTGTGTGATGTTGTGAGGACCTGGGTGTTCTGTGTCATTCCCCACTCCCTGCTATGTGGAGAAAGTCGTCAACCCTCAGGGACAGGTGATTCTGAGTGGTCATTCGGGAACATGCTACCTAGAAGGGTCTGTGTAGGAAGTGATCGGTTCACAACTAGTATCTATATTTCAGAGCATCGACCCTTGTGGCTTTTGACTTGGGCTTGTATTAAAACCACTGTTTGCTCTACCAGTGGTGTCTTAGTATCTAATTTCATGTATTTCCCAAATGTCAGAAAAATGGATTCCTCGTTACGCCTCATTTTTTCTGCTTTGGAAGGTGAGTGCCCTTTCCTGCGTGACTTTATTTTATTTTAACACATTCTAAATCAGATGCCGTTTCTTGAATGTAGTAATAGATAGACGCAGTCATATTTGTTAAGGTTCTCTGTAAATGCCGTGTTGTTGGAATATCATGAGATACTTCAGTAAGTTAATGGGCCATAGCAACTTAATCATTCTTCTAAGGTCGAATGTAAATAATGCTGCTCTTGAATGTTTGTGTGGCATATACATCTTCCAGATCTTACATTTATCTAGATTAGATTCGCAGAAGTCAGATTAGTTGGTTTTAATAACTTTGGATATTTTCATGGCTTTTGATTGGTTTGCCAGTGTCTTCAGCATTTCTTGATGCTGGTCCAGCTTTCCAGGTTTGTTAGTAGGGTGTTGGGTGTTTGGAGGACCTGCCAAAGGACCCTGCAGAAGTCCTGGGTATGGGGCAGCTTTGAACCCAGCCAGGAGTAGAAGGTGGGTGGGGACAAAGGGCGTGAGGAGCTCAGGACCACAGGACCACACCCTGGTGCCTGCATGGGTGTAGGAGGATCCAAAGAGGAGCACGGAGGAGCTGGGCGGCCCTTGGCTTCTTCCTGGGAGGATGGCCCACATTTTGTCTTGTGGTGCTGTCCTGGCCACCCTCTTGGGGAGGCTAGGATGAATGGTGCCTGGGCTGGGTGTGGATAGGGCGGAAGGGTTTCCCCCCAGTTAACTTCAGTTGGTGCACATTGGCACTGGGGAGCAGGGGCGGCCTCTTGCGGGCTTGCTGTCTGCTTATCATCCAGCGCCACACAAAAGCAAGTCCTCAGTCCTGTGAGGGAAATCGGCGCAGACACCCTCTGACAGCCCGACGCAGAGACCATCATCCGCTTTCCAGTTACTGGATTGTGAGATGCTTGGAGATGCATCGACAGAGGCCATGTGGGCAGAGCCCTGGATCTGTGTGGCCTGAGGTGGCCAGTTTGCTGGTGGCAGCAGTTCTAAGGAGACCTGAGGGGGGCCAGGGGCAGGGACAGACACACACTGAGATTTCAGGCGGAGCCGCGTGTGGAGAACCGCTGCCACAGGAGAGTGGCCATCTGTGCCCCTAGCTCATCTCCTCTTCTTGTGCAGCTCACTTCCTTAGGCCCTCCAGCCATAGCACGGGCTTGGGGGCCTCCCTGCCCGTGGGCACTGTGTCCCCAGTTCCCCTCCTGCAGCTGAGGGACTCAAGTAAATCACTTTTCTACCAATGCATAAAAAAAAGTACACATGCAAAGTAAACCAAGGATTTTGAGTTGTAGAGTGAAGGAAAATGGAGATATTACTGTAACACCAATTCTTCTAGATTGATCCTTTCAGGGTAAAATTTTAAATATAAAATATAGTGAGTAGCAAATGCATGGACACACACAGTCCCCCGGACACTCTGGAGTGCTGGTGGTTCTCCCCTGCATCGTGGGAGTGACTGGACGCCGTGACTCGCACTGCTGTTCATGAGAGACAATTGCATGACATGCCACTAACCAGGAAAAGAGCCAGAATCAAAGTATGGTTTTTTCCCGAACGTGAATCACTTCTGCACCATTATAATGTTGAACCTTTGTAAGCAAATCATTGCAAGTCAGGGACTATCTGTATTGTTGATTTTAGGCCAGTTTGTAGTTAAATGTTGACACGCTGGAGTACTGTGGATTGGGGATTGTTAGGATGGCTGATTGACTTCAAAATACGCCACGGCACCAGACAGAAACCTGTATGGCAAAATGATTCATGTGATAGGTGCATAGGGCTGCTGTGTATCAGTGTTTTTCACCTCTATGCGTGTTTGAACATTTATAAACATTTTTTTCAAGTGCTGGACAGTGGTGGGAACCTTGCCCATTGCATACACTTCCCCGTCCCCTCTCACAGATGAGGAAGGAAGCAAGGCTCAGACAGTAGCTCTTGGGTCTAACACCACAGGACTTTGTAGAGCTGCCATTTGACCTGGAGGGGCGGCTGGCTGCATATCTTCCTGCCCCTGCTCCTCCCCACTCATCTGGCACCCGTGCCCCTGACTTGGGCACTCTGCCTGAGCCCCTCCTATAACAAGAGTACCTGCCCTGCCAGTGGTCACACCGCCGTCTTCAGTGGAGCACATTTTCCACTTGTTGCCTATGTTGAAGTTACATCAAGGGCTTATGAAAATACATTTTTATCAAAAACTCGAGAGGCTGCTGCTTCTAAGTGTGTTTATTTGAATGTCTTCCTGCTCTGTGTCTCTAAAGATGCTCTTGCTGTTGCAGGCGGACATCTGGTCACTGGGTATAACAGCTATAGAACTGGCGAAAGGGGAGCCCCCTCATTCCGAGCTGCATCCCATGAAGGTTTTATTCCTGATTCCAAAGAACAACCCCCCGACGCTGGAAGGGAACTACAGCAAACCCCTCAAGGAGTTCGTGGAGGCCTGTCTGAACAAGGAGCCGAGCTTTGTAAGTCTGCATCCCTCGGTGCAGCTGTGCGTGGCCCTGCCGGGCCCGCTGGCAGGTGTTCCCCCCCCCCCCCCCCGTCCCTGGCCTTCTCAGCCCTTCTCAGCTGTCTGCAGGATCTCATGCATTTCTCTCTCTCTCTCTCTCTCTCTCTCTCTCTCTCTCTCTCTCTCTCTCTTCATTTTTCTTTTTCTAAATGAGTGTGATTGATTTATTTGAATTGCAAATATGCTCTTACAGCCATTTTCTCTTTTAAGGATTAAAAACTATTTTCTTTCACATTCTAGCATCTCATGCCTCCCTCCTTGAGCCTGAGGAATATTTCTCCCTCATACGATAGGTGGAATCCCAAGTTTTTAATATTTAGAGAGGAGGATCCGGCTGTCAACTATAAAACTGCCTTTAGTAATGGCAGAGGGTAGCCTGAAAAGTAATGGTAATAGGTCTTCAGAGTCAGCGTGTTCTCTCTTGAGTTGTTAGTGCTGGGAAGCAAAAGATAAGGTGAAGAGGAGCCACGCACCTCTTTCTCCTCCTCCTTCCTTCTCTTTTTACATTTAATCAATAATAACAGCCCATAGCAGAAACGACTACCTAGTTTTACCTCATTTTTCTCTCAGAATTAGGGCAGTTCTTTGAAAGTGGTGTATTTTTGTGTTGCATGAAGTATCATGTCCTTGTTTTGAGTTTTACAATGGAGTTAGCTGAAGGCTAAGCTGGATCCCGCCTCCCCATCGCCACTGAACTCTTATTAGTGAAGACTGATGATTTTACAAGAGCATCGTGGTTTCTTCATTGGTGCCAGTTCTGGAGAAGGAATTGCACAGGGGACAGCATTTCCTAAGCACTCTAGGTGACGCTGGTTCGTGTTGTTCTGTATACAATGGTGTTGGGTTTTGTATCGTGGTGGTTCTAGGCCCAACACAGCACTCTCACATAGGGAAGGCGTGTCCGTGTGTGCATATCTTCCATTAAACACTCCTCTAGTTAGCACACTCCCCTTGGCTCTCCCCCATCCCTTGGAGGAGAAGGACCTAAAGCTGTGACTATGAGCTGTGACTATTATGTCTGGAGTTCTCCACTGGGGCTGGGGTACCTGAGGCCATCCGGGTTTCTCACCTTCAAGTTTGAAAGAGCACTGGCTCTTGTTGACAAGGCCTTAGTAATTTGGAGGGAGTGGAAACAGCCCGAGTTGCTGATGTTTTGTGTTCCTGGTGTCAGGTCCAGGTCGGGCACACTGGGCTTCTTGGGAATTTTGCTCTTTTCAGTAACTAGGTGTGCCGTCCTGCAGGGTGGAGCCCTTGGTCGGATCGTGGTGTGCCATGAGTCTGGGGCGTGGACGAAGCCCTTAGCTCAGTCGCAAGGAGCCGGGAACACCATCTTTCTAAATCGGGGGCGGATGACAGTGCCAGGCGCCTTTCAGAAATGCAGGACAGGTTCTCTCCTGGCTCCCTTCCAGTTTCTTTCAGTGTTTTTATTTTACGATATTCTGGGGTTTTCACCACACAGTGCAGAATGTTAATAGTAACACAGAACATGTTTTTCCGTCAGTGTCTGCCTTCGAGTGCTGAGCGAAAGTGGGAGAGGAGATGCGCTCTCGGGTGGTTCAGATTATTTGGGGGAAGTTCTCTTGCTTTAATTGGCCGTCGAGGACACCACTGGAAATGTCATGTCCACACTGTGCCTGCGAGTCCCAGCCATGGGTACAGAGTGACCCATCTTTGAATTAAACCTAAGGGGAAAACTTTGAAACCCAGTCTCGCCGTGTCAGCGTGGTCGCCTGGCATTTCCAGGCGTGAGCCCTCCCTCTGGGATTGGATACAGAGGCTGAAAGTGCACGGGACCTCATGCTGTTTCGGGTGTCTTTCCAGAGACCCACGGCTAAGGAGCTGCTGAAGCACAAATTCATAGTGCGCAACGCAAAGAAGACGTCCTACCTGACGGAGCTCATCGACAGGTACAAGCGGTGGAAGGCCGAGCAGAGCCAGGACGACTCCAGCTCCGAGGACTCGGACGCGTAGGTTGCCGCCCGAGCTGTGCCGCAGATGGGCCGCGGGCTCCTGGGGGGCGGTTCTGGGCGTTTCTTAGGTAACCCGCGGGTGGTTTTTGTGGTGGGCACCACGCGGACCCGGCAGGGAGTCTCTTAGCCTCGTCTTTTAGCCTCCTGTCCGCATGGAGTCTCCGAGTAGCATCCGCGTGAGGGCTCTGGGTGCAGGGAACGGGACCTAGCCTCCTTTCCTGTTCTTAAAGTTCTGACCAGAGGACATTGCCTTAAATACATCTTGAAAGGCTGTGGAGGCCTGTTTTAGTGCCCGCTTGCTGTGTTCTAAGAGAAGCTCAGCCTTGCAAAGCTCTGTGTGGGCAGTGCCTGACCGAGAACCCGTGTCCGGCTTGGCACCCAGGGTTCCATTGGCTGGAGACGTGGCCTGGAGCTTCCAGCTGGGACGCGAGGGAAGTTGGCTGGGCTGCCCTGACCTCAGGGAAGGAAGTGGCTAGGTAGAACTGGGCCTGTAAGCCGAGCCTGGAGCTGACCTGCTGACCTGCACCCCCTGGCCAGAAGACAGCACCCTCCCCATGCCGGGCCGGTGGGACCAGGGTTCTCAACACCCCTGGTGATTCTGGTTCATAGCCAAGGCCAAGTCCATTGATCTTGGAGGCTGTTGAGGTGTTGCTGCCGGCGACTAGGGCAGTAGCAATGGAGGTGAACAGTGGGGAGAGAGAGAGAGGAGAGGGTTTGGAGAGCCAGGATGTGGTGATGGACTTGGGTAAAGGGGGCAGATGTGCCAGGATTTGGCAGCATGGCGTGTGATGTTCCCAGGTGGCCAGGAGATGTGCATCTTGAAGTGACACTGAGGTGTGGCCCTCAGGGAAAGAGAGCTAGGCAGACCACGCAGACTTAAGGGTCGCTGCTGTATGAAAGGTCATCCAAACCCTGAGAACCGGTGGTGTCACTCGTGGTGTGCATTTGCCATATGAGAAGAGCTCAAGTTCTGGAGGCGGGGGACCAGGCCCTAGGAAGCCAGCGTGGGGATGAAGATGAACATCGAGTGAGAAGGACCCCCGTGGGTGGGAGGAGACCAGGCACAGCAGAGCCAGCGCCTGGGGCTGATTGGCAAGATCATTGGGACCATTGCTGTTGAGGTTCCAACAGGCCAGGACTGCATAGACCCCCTTACCCAGCGGTGCTTGGAGGCTGGGGACCTTGGAGGTAGCATGTGGGGATGGGGTGGAAGGTGACAGGTGGAAGCAGTGAGTACACATGCACATCCGTGATCTGTGGCTGAGACCAGATGTGGCCATCCGCCCGAGGGCGTGATCAGGGGAAGCTGCTTGGAGGGGAGGAAGAGAGAGTGCTTCTGGGTTGGCGGGAGGGAGGCACACAGGAGAGAAGGCAGGCCTAGAGGGGGACTTGCAGGGGACGGGACGTTTCCTCCTCCAAGTTGGGAGCCACCTCTTTTGCTGTGGGAGGCTAAGGAAGAAGGATGGCGAGAAGTTCAGGAGCCGCCTTCTGTTCAGTGATGTAGCAGGCCGTGTGACTGGAGGATCCCAGGGGGTAAGGGGGTGGTGTGGGGGTGTGGAGTGTAGATGGTGGGAGAGGGTGGCAGCTGCGGTGGAGCATGGGCTGTGGGTGGCCGAGGGCCTGAAGCCAGGGTGTCCACGCTGACCAACTCCGCGGGGTCTTTGTGTCAAGGGAAACAGATGGCCAGGCATCTGGAGGTAGTGACTCTGGGGACTGGATCTTCACAATCCGAGAGAAGGATCCCAAGAATCTTGAGAACGGAGCTCTTCAGCTGTCGGATTTGGAGAGAAACAAGGTACAGTTGCTCATTCTCGAGTGCTAGCACCTGTTGTCCACCAGCAGGCACCTGCCATTCTGTAAGGCCTTCCCTGGGAGTGGGCGGGGTCCTTGAAGCAGTCCTTGGTGGGGCTTTGCCCTCAGAATTGGCAGATCAAGAGCTGAAGTCATGTCTGATCATGCAAAGATTGGGACCTGAGAGTCCGCGTGTGGCTGTGCTGTGGCGCTCTGGTCTCCCCTCTGCTCTGGGCCACACTGGGACTCCTGACCTCCCGACCCTGGGCCGTGCTATGGAGTTGGAGTGAGGGGGTCAGGTTTCGTGTACAGAACAACTTTATGGTTCTCTTTAGGGGACTGTGTCCACATGCTGGGATGACTCATATAATGTACCATAATTTTATTTAAGACCATATAATTGAATGTGATCTTTTTGTGTTTAATTGATTAATTGGTTTTATGCCTATTTAAACTTGTGAAAAGCTATATTTTTAGGTCTTTTAAAAGTGTAGTGGAGGATTCGTCAGGCAGGTGGACCAGTGGCTGTCCCTGTGGTCCCAGCCTGCTTGGATGAGTCAGGCAGGTGTTAAGTGTTGTCCAGGTAGAGGTGGTAACTCCAGAGAGGCCAGTCGCTGCAGCAGCTCCACCTGGCTCCCCTCTACGAGCTTCGACAGAGAGCACTCCCCATAGAGTGCTGGGCCATCCAGCGTGGCCGCCCATCCAGCGTGGCCGCCAGGGAGTCTTTCTTCCCTTGTGGATTCAGATACTGGGTCCCTAGCGTCATGGGTTTTGCCTGTGACTGCAAACTTTGTAGCCTAGTTGAAGACGGTAAGACAGTCTTACCCAGAGTGACGGGGGCAGAGAGCATCCGCTCAGCGTGTAGAGTCAGCATGGGCTTTGGTGGGCGGTCTGCTGCGTACTGAATCGCTGCCGGTGCCTGTTCCCTGTTCCTTATGATCTCTCTTTTCTTCCTCAAGATGAAAGACATCCCAAAGAGGCCTTTCTCTCAGTGTTTATCGACAATTATTTCTCCTCTGTTTGCGGAGGTAAGAACCTGGTTGGCTTCCTGGAGCAGGGTGCTGCTCCTGTGGGGAAGTGGTCCGTACAAGGTGGGGCGTTGAGATAGCTGGTGTGGGCACGCTTGACACGTCTGTGTGGCGCCCGAGGCAGGCACTGGGTTCCTTGGTGCCAGCGGCTCCTGCTCCGCCTGGGCAGAGCTCCTTGTCGCCTCCCCTGGGAGGTGGTGTGTGGCAGCCTGCGGTGGTCCAGTCCGGGCCTGTTATCACCGTCCGGTTCAGCAGCTTTCTACACCATCTGCTGGCGCCGCCCAGTCTCTGCCCCATCTCTGCCCCAGCAAGTGTGCGGCAGTGCAAGTGGGCTTCTAACATTTGAGAGGACGGACTCCCTGTAGGCCCTGTTCTCCCCTGGGCTGCCCCCATCTCTGGGACCCTGCCTGTGCCCTGGGTGAGCCGGGTCTCAGCCTGACCCTCCTGCGTCCCGTCCTCATCGTCTATGTGGCCCTCCTTGGCTTGGATGCCTCGGAGCTAGCTGACTCCCACACTCTGGGTGGTGAGCCAGGTTTCTCGGGTGGCAGCTGAATCGGGGTCCTCACACTTGAGGCTGGCGGTCTGGAGGACGGAAGTGGCCACCCAAGCTCGTCCCCCCGCCCACAGTCGGCCTGCTGTAGAGTCCAGTGCGCCTGTCCACCCACAGTGCTGCCAGAGCCCATCCCAGCTCCCATCCTCCCAGCTCCATCCTTGTGGTCTTCTGATGGCCCTGCTGTGGCCCTGGCAAGGTCTGGGCCATGTGGGAGGACGGCTGTGCCTGGGGCATCAGTGCCACCTGAAACACCTGAGCACCCCAGGTTCGAGGGAAAGCAGTGTGGCCGGGCAGGTGGGAGCCCCTGCTGCTTGCCCTTTGACTCCAGCTAGACACCGCTGTGCTCTGGAGTGGGCTGTGTGGGCACTTGGGGTTCTGCTCACTTGCTCCTTGTGACCTGCCATCATCAGCCATCCTAATAGAATCAGTGGCTGACTAGGAAAAAACAAAGGTTTTTCTCATTTTCTCTGGACTTTATTTTATACCGAGTTTAAGAAGGAACCATGCCAATCATTATTCAGTATCTCCCATCAGATTAACCCTAAATGCAGCAGTGTCCTAGATTTTTGGGGGGCTAATCCACAGGAGTCTTTTCTTATGTGTTTTTTTATTATGATATTTAATAACCTAAAGTTCAAAGTGCTTAGTGTGCATTATTTTAGATAATACTAAAGTTCACATGTGTGAATGAGGACGGTAGGGAGATGGAGGTGCTGGTGTCTCCATTACTGTCACTCGGCCTGTGCCAGGTTGCTGACTCAGTGGTGATGGCCCACGTCTGGTACAGCCCTCTGGTGGGGGCCCATTCCCAGGGCTGCCCCACTGCCTGTCCTTGTTCCTGCTTTGAGACAGAGGTGTGGCTTCAGAGCAGGGAGCGGCATGGTGGGCTGTAAGTCGCTCTCCTGGGACTCACAGTTACTGTCCTGTGAAGTTGTGGGGAGTGCCAGAGAGACACAAGCCACCTCCCGGGGGCTCCTCTGTGCTGTAGCCTGTGACCAGAAATGTTCCTGACGCTGTGGGCCCTTCCAAGGTCCTGCCCAGTCCCTGTATAGACCCTGTTGGGAGAGGAGAAGCCATTGCTTTTTGGGTGCTGCAGTTCTGGCAGTGACATGTTCACCGTACCCTGGAGAGCCAGAGCTGAGTGTTTTATGAAGTATTCATAAAGACGGAAGGGGTCTCCAGGAGTTGCATTGGTGTCTGTCACCTCTGCAGTGCCATCTAGAGCCTCCCCTGGGAGCCTTTGGTCCCAGACTGTGCTAGATCTTCGTAGTCTCATGCTCGTGTTTCATTACTTGGTCGCATTTTGGGAAGAGACTTGGAACTAGCCATTAGGCAAGGGGGGTGCCTGAAGACACTGTTGCCGTTTCTCACGGGAGCGGAGGAGGGGCACTGTGGATCCCCAGAATTTAGGGCTGCCACGCATTTACCTGAAGGAGAACATTTGACAGCATCTGGATCAAAACGGTTTCTGCTGAAGGGTTTTTTTTTTTTTTTTTTTTTTTTGAGGGGGTGGGATTTTTGGGCATTGAACCCAGCTGAGGACACTGACAACTGAGCTACATTTCCAGTCCTTTTCATCGATTTTTAAAAAAATTTTTAATATTTAGATAGTGTCTCACTAAGTTGCCGAGGCTGGCTTCAAACTGGTAACCCTCCTGCTCAGCCTCCCAAGTAACTGGGGTCCAGGTGTGGGCAACACCTGGCAGGTCTCGTTGGAGTTTCAGATCTACCCGTTAAACTTGGAATCCAAGCCTGCGACCCACACCACAGCCGCAGTGTTGAGGCCAGAGTAACTTCTGGTGGCTGTGAAACTGCTTCTCTGGGACAAGATTAAGGTTGTAATAGAAAAACAAAACAGAGGACACCATCGGAATCCAATTTGGAGAATGTGCACGGCTGGCCGTCTCCTGGCCTGCTGCCCTTTCTGTGGAGGAGGGCTCTGCATGGTGGCCCTTGAAGGGAGTGCTGCTTGGCTTGTGTGCACGTGTCACGCTGCTCTCCGTGTGTTTCAGCTGAAGGAGAAGAGCCAAGCATGTGGAGGGAACCTGGGGTCCATAGAGGAGCTGCGAGGGGCCATCTACCTGGCAGAAGAGGCCTGCCCCGGGATCTCGGACACCATGGTGGCCCAGCTGGTGCAGCGGCTGCAGAGGTAACTGACCGACTGTGGAGGAGCGCCCTAGGGCATTGGCGCTGGGCTTTCCTCCTGGAGCTCGGTGCCACTGTGGTACTGTGTTTTGGGGGTTTGTCCTCATTGTCCCCCAGCCACAGGGTTACAGCAGAGTCCAGTCAGAGGAGGCTCATTCTGAATCAGTAGGAGAGAACCATGTGAGTCCCAAGCCACTGGAAAGAGCCACAGAACTTTGTGCCTTTGTCTCCTTTGCGACAGCTAAAGGATGATTTTTAAATGTCTGTTCTTAACTACGCAGCCTGCTCCTGAGCCGGATTGGCCAGAGGAGTACAGGCCTCAGTCAGACTCCTGTGGCTGCCTGTGGGTTTTGGGCTTTAGAGTTTGGTGTCCAGATGCTGGAAGGTGGGGCACAGTGACTTCTGTGAGAACAGGTGTGGGTGGGTCCTTTTCCTTAGTGGCTAGTACCCAGGCCCTGATGCCTTGTGGACAGTGGCTGTGCCTGTCCCTACCTGTGTCTTTGGCTACACGTTTCAGACTGAGGAACCCTCCCTGCTTTTGCTTGGGGAATATCTACGTGAAAGTCACCCCAGGCGGCCCTCCTGGCCTGGAGAGGTGTGTGGGCGGCTGCTCCGGGAAGGAGCGTGGGTGCTGGGTCCCTGGCTGACTCCCAGCTGCTCGGGTCACGTTCCTCACTCCTGCAGTTCCAGGCCTGTTGTTGGCCTGATGTTTGTCTTCAGGTGTCCAGAAGATGGCTGAGCCTCCGTGACGACCCAGAGCATTGCTAGGCCTCTTCTGAGATGGCCTCTTGACGGAAAGTACTTAGGAAGGATATGAGGGCATGTGGGGTCACTTTGGCCATTTGCAAGTGACACCTGATGGGGCTGCCCACTGTCCTTGAAGAGTCCTTTTGTCTGAGGGCATCCAAAAAAAAGCAGTCTGACATTCAGCCTCATTCTTCCCAGCTCGGCCTCCTTAGTACATGACACTGCGACTGCCAAGTGAGGATAGAAAGTAAAAATGGTTTCCTTGGCTGAGACGGTCGAAGGAGTCACTGATCTGTTTAAATGATCTCTGTCCTACTGCCCCCACTTCTGCCACATTAAAAGCAATGAAACAAGTTACAGAAATAAAGCAAAAGAGAATACAAAAGTCACCCACATGCTTGCCTCTACACAAGCCTTTTTGATTTTTCTAGCTTGGTATCTTCACTTCCTTCTAATGGCATGTATTTCTTATTAAAAAGAAACTTATGCTGGGTGCAGTGGTGCAGGCCTGTAATCCCAGCAGCTTGGGAGGCTGAGGCAGAAGAATCATGAGTTCAAAGCCAGCCTCTGCAACTCAGTGAGGCACTTAGCAACACGGTGAGACCCTGCCTCTAAATAAAATATAAAAAGGGCTGGGGGTGTGGCTCAGTAGTTAAGCACCCCTGGGTTCAATTGTTCCTCCCTCCCCCCAAATAAAGAATGAAACTCATAAAGCAAATAGAACTAAACCCAGAAACTGGGTATATCATTAGTGTCTTGCTTTGGACTTTTTTTCTGCTTGTGTAGTGTCACTTCTGAGCTGGTATTTTATATGAGGTCCCCATTGCCTGAACGTGTGGCGTGATCTATGTGTGTGCCTGGACTTCCCCAGCAGTCCAGCACTGTGCTGTGTCCCGAGCACACGGGTCGGTCCATGTTTTCCACTTCACAACCCCCTTCTCCCTGTCCCCTTTCTTTTATTGTTGATGCAAACCCATCTGCCAGCTCCATCCAGTGGGAGTGTAACACGGGCTTCACGTAGATTTAGGAATATTTTTTAATCTGCTACACTTCAAACATTATCATTTCAATATATAATCAATAGAAACAATTACAGTGTAAGATATTTTTACTTTCTTTTTTGTACTGAGTCTTTGAAATCCGGTGTGTTTACGCGTGGGCTTGAATCCACACTTACAGTTGGGTGCTTAGTAGCCACCTGTGGCCTTCAGTGACAAGTGGACCCTCCTCCTTGGTCATCAGATGGCCTGGCTTTGGGGAGTCCTCATCTTGTCCCTGCAGGCTTGCTGTGGCAGTCTGTTTTTTACCCCAAAGTCCTCCATGATTGGATGCCGGCCACAGTGGCTGAAGCTCAGGCTTCTTTGCAATTTGGCTCCCAAACCCGTTACCTTGGCAAGTCGCTCAGAAAGAAAACTGTCACCTGAAGCATTTTCTGAGCCTTTCTGTCTTAGTTTTTTGAATTAATGTTTAGACTGTTCTGTGCACCATCAACTCGATATTGAAATTCAAGTATAGAGGTTGTGGCTAATGCCTGCTTTCACGGGGACCTTGACACTCCTACTGATAATGCCTTCTAGTTCCAGGCATTATCAGTGCCTGCAGAGAGGAGCTGTGGGTAGGAATGTTTGAGACAAGTCTTCTTAAAGGTGTCCTTGGCCATCTCCTGACCTGTGCCTTAGAGTTGGTTCTGATGGTGTTTGACCACGAGGCAGCCTCAGCCCCGTTGTTTTATATTCTGAAGCAAGAAAATACTATAAAATTTTTCGAAAACAAGAAGTGATTCATGGTCCCACTATTGTAGCCTGGTGGTTACCACCATCACCACCACCACCATTACCATCTTTTAATGCATTACCTTCCAATGCACAAGTGTGAACTTACTCCATTTCTCACATACTTGCAAATTACATTGCTCCTGGGACTTTATTCCATGGTATTTATGATACAGAACTTACAAACACACAGGTATTATATGTGTATAGTCACAGCAAACTTTATTTTTCAGATTGCGTAAACACAGATGATCATAATTTAAAATCTTGATTTCTTCTGGTTTGCATATTTTGCTTAACTGCTTTTCTGTTAGTCTTCAAAGTTGTTACAAATTATTCTGGTGTTTAAAAAATCTGGAGAGGTTTCTCTGTGCAGATACCCATTTCCTCCTGTGAACTTTGTTTCTGAGGCCCTGCTGGGAAGCTGGTGACTTGGACCATGTCAGTATGTTGGTGGCCTAAAAGGACTGCCTGCAGTCCTCTTCCATCAGCTGTGGGAGGGCATCCCTGGGCTCTTGCTCTGTTACTGGACAATGTCATTTTTCCAAAATTGATCCTCAGTAAGTCTCATCCGCTGCTTGACATCTGTCCAGAAGGCTGGACACATCATTTTTCCTCTTGATCGTGTGCTATGAAGTTTTTGTGTCAGAACCATGATTTTCTAAATGACTTAAGACTTCCTATCAAAACTAAGATTTTTATTATTTTAAATTTTTGCACAAGGGTTAGAAAAATGACATTTACTTCTGTTTCTTTTTCTTTTTTCTTAGATATTCTCTAAGTGGTGGAGGAACTTCGTCCCACTGAAACCCTTTGGCCTCTGGGGTTTTGTTTTCCCTCCTTTCTTCTGCATCCTCCTTTTGAAAGTCGAGGAGAACCTTTGCCGGCTCTGCTGGAGGCGCCACGGAGGGCCACCCCCAAGGCCGCGACGTCCAGGGACACACTTAGCCCTCGCTGTGCCCAGCCTGATGAAGTCTCTCGCATGGGGTGGGGAGGGCCAGCTCCTTCAAGCAATTATTTTATTTTTTTATTGTTTTTAATTTTAACCATAGTGCACATATTCAAGGAAAATGTCTTTGAAAACAAAACCCCTGAAGTGTATATTTGGGATTGTGATAAGGCAACTAAAGACATGAAACCTCAGGTATCCTGCTTTAAGTCGATAACTCCCCCGGGAGATGGAGAATCGCTGGTGGATCTGTGTACAGACTGTATATAGCGTCATTTTTACAGAAACCCCTTTGGCGTGCATAAGGAATCACTGTGTACAAATCGGCCAAGTGCTTCTGTAGATAATGTCCGTGGAGTAAATATTTGACAGGCCATAACTTGAGTCTATTGCCTTGCCTTTATTACATGTAAATTTTGAATCATGTGACCAGTGATTTGGGTTTTATTTTGTATTTGCAGGGTTTGCCATTAATAATAATTAACGCCCCTCGATGGAACACTCCCATTTGTACCTCGACAGATGCAAATGTCCCTCTTGTTTGTCCTTCACCCCTTTTGGTACACTTAGAAGTTGATTTCCTTTTTCATCGATGGTACTATTTCTTAGTGTTTTAAATTGGAACATATCTTGCCTCATGAAGCTTTAAATTATTATTCTGAGTTTCCCAGAGGAAGCACTCTCGTCTAACCTTTGTTTGGAGTCGTGCACCAGGCGTACTGTCCTGCCCACACGATTTTCTGTTGCACCTCGTAGCGGAATCTGCATATCATCATCTTTCCCACCTGGAAGTGTCTGGATGCTTACACCAATAAATTTTATAACACACTTATTTTGCATACTCTTCTTGAAACATGACTGCAGAGTGGACAGGGCACCTGCTTGTGTGTGTGTGTGGTTGTGTAAGCGTGTGGCTGGCTGAGTGTGTGTGCTGAGACAGTTCAGAAAACTCCAGGGAAAAGTGCCCAGGTGGGAAAATGCTGATGAGCAGCATTTTCAGCTTTGCAACTGTGTGAGTGGTCACTGAGATGTGGCTGGACATTGCAGATTTGTGAAACTGCTCTACCTCTTGCCAGGGACTTTAAGGATGGTTTTAGTTCTTCTGAAGGAGACCACGGCTGCCAGTGCTGCCACCCAGGATGTCTGGTTTTCTTGGTTTGCTCTCAGGTGTTGTTCAGCAAGGTGGGAAATTTCTGGGTTTTCTGCAATGAGGGAGGGTTGTGTAGCAATTTTGGGGTGTTTTATTTTGGTACAGGTAGTATTCTTTTATATTTGTTGATGCTAATTATTGTCATCTTTTATTGGGGTAGTAGCTTGGTCCTTTAGTAATATGTTGCCAGGATTAAGACAATGGAATTTTGGGGAGGCAACGAAGTCGCTGGGTGGACTTGGGAAGTTCATTGCCGCAGTGGCCTGGAGGTTGCGGGGACAGAGAACATGCCTGAGCTCGAGGTGTTGCGGAGGGGTATCGGTTTGTTTGGATTTGATGTGGGAGTTTAGACTATGGAACCATGATGTTTTATCACAAGTGGATTTCGGTTGAATTACTAATTTTTAAAAGGGATACACGAGGCTAAAGGAACTCAGACTGCATTGCTGATTCCTTTTGTAAGGGTACAAGACTCTGAGCAGTATGTGTTTCCCTATACAAGGCCAAAGGTCAGTTTTATCCATCATGGGGTGTCTGGGTACCTCAAGTGTGCTATGTGTTAGGTTTTAAGAGCACCAATGTAGATGGCAGCTTTTCTGGAAGACAGAGTTCATCGGGTTTCCAGGCAGTGACATCATGACTTGATGTCAGGGCCTCATGCACGCAAGGCAGGTGCTCCACCACTGAACAATTCTGCACTGAACCACTGAACAATTCCTGCAGCCAACTTCAAATACTATAACTGAGGTGAAGTTGCTAGGTAGACTTGGATCCTAATCAAGAATATTGGTCTTGATTAGGAAGATTCCCTGCAGTCATGAGCATACAATACTGTAAAGCTCCATCTCCTGGTAAAAGCAACAAATGATTCTTTGGGAATTTGCTGGAAACTTCCTGGGGCGTGTGTTTAGACTGGAGGTTTAAACGTGGACTACCTCACTGTACTCTCTCCTGGATTGTGACTCTGTAGACACAATCGGCTGAAATGTTGAGGGCACCTCGTTTAGCCACAGTCTAGCCTTTGTCCCCACATTTCCAGTCTTTCACTGAAGAGGAGCCAGGTGCCAGAGCTCCGATTGGAACCTGCCTCAGTAGTGCCGACGGCTGCTGGTCTTCAGCCGAGTCTGTGAGCTCAGCGTTTGGGGGTTTGCAGTCACTTGAAGTCTCCTGATGCCAAACCTGACCTGTTCCTGGCTCCTCAGCCCAGGGCCTGTGGGTCATGTAAGTGTGGCCACCATGAAGCGGTGGCTGTGAGCTGACTGCTCAGCCATGGCTTCTGCCTTTTTGAAGTTGTTTCTCTGCGTCCTGCTGGCTGCACCCGGGAGGTGGAGCCCAGGGTGGTTCCAGATGTCTCGACCACCTAACAGCTGGGCCCTCGCTTTCCTGACGAACTGAGTGCCACCTGTCTTCCAAGTGGACAGTTCTGTTCTTGAGTTGCTCTTGTGAAGTGTCTGGCTTGGTCCTTTAGTCATGAGTTGCCAGTTGATAAGTATTTGATACTTTCTTCCTTCAGGAACAGGGCTGCATTTCTACCACGAAATATGGCAGTGAAGGCAGAGGCCCCATAGTGTGTTCTTGAGCACCCACTGGGTCATGCAAGGGTTAGCAAAGGGCTCAGCAAACGATGGTCTTTGTCTTGCGTGTAGAGGGGTCGCTGGAACGCCACCTCCCCTGGCAGCCCATCGGGAGTGGACTTGGTGCCTATGTTATTTTCCGTTTTTCTCTGAAGCCACACGGGGAACAGAGGAGCTGGTCACAGATGGGAACCACAGGTGTCCGGCAGGTGGTTTGGAAACATTCAGAAATGCTGAGGTAGGGAACCACCTCGTCCCCAGGTGTTCCTGAATGAGTTGGGGATGTCACTCAGTTCAGGTAAGTCCTAGAGGAAGTATGTCCCTGATACTGCTCTGCCCCCTGTCCCCTTAGCATCTCCCTGACCCCCCCCACCCCCAGTTTGGGAGAAGCCTGCTGGGAGCTTGTTCTCCAGGCTGTTCATCAGGGGCTTCTTCCAAGGGAAAGTGGAAGGTCCTCCCAGTCTGTCCACACTGGTTCTATCTCCCGAGCCTGTCCTCCTCCCTATCACATCCACCCACCCTGCCCCTGCCGAGGTGGCATTGTAGGCCCTTGGTCCCTGTTCCCGCCACATGTGCACAATAAAGACAAGAGACAGTGCTGGTCTGTTTTGCCTTAAAACTTCAATATGCTGGATTTTGGCGTGAGGTATTTTTATTCCCTTTGTTAGTGCTTGCAACCATCTGGTACATATTGTAAGGCAAAGGATGACACGTCTTGAGCTCTTGTCTGCCTGTCACTCGTGGACACCAGCCACAGCTCCATGACGGTGTGCCCACTGTTCAGGGAAGTGGCCTCCCTGTGAGGACATAGGACAGAACTGTGCTGAATTGGCCGACTAACGTCAGGCAGGGCTCAAGAGTGCTAAGGGAATGGCAGCCACCTGGTTGCCACAGGGAACGGGTCGACACTGCCCACCTGTGGGCACTGGGACACCAGGTTCCCAGCGAAGCGTGACTGTCCAGGGGGTGCAGTGTCACTCTGCCGGTACCCCATGCCCGGGGGATGAGTCTAAAGAGTGAAGACAGGCACGGTAGATAACTACTAGAGAACTCGTGGTTTCCAACCACGGAGGCGGGAGGGGATGGGTCTGGTCACGGGGGCTGGGACTACGTACCATTACTGTACAGGCTCCTGCATCCATGAAGCTCACATGACACCCCAGAACGGAACAGCACAAATGGCCCTGGTCAGTGACACACAGGTTCTCATGCTTGTGAAACACAGCAAACACCATCGTACACACCACTCACAGTACAGCAGCAGTCAGGGGCGCACTGGGTCCCTGCTCCTCCAAACAGAAAACAACCCGCTACGGTTTGTAAAGAGGAATCGATTTGGTCAACTTCGCCAAGAAGTAGGCCAGGTAACAAGTGTGTGTCACTGGAGCATGGACCCCTCAGCGGAGCGGAGTGCGCTGGGAACTGCTTATTAGTCAAGGAAAGTGAGTCCTGTGGACCTCCTGTTATAAAAGTAGAAAGATTGGGGGGGAAATGAAACCTGAAAACGATCTCATTTGCTTAAGACCGCCACACTGGAAAAATCCATTTTTAAAACAGCAGCCCGCAGGTGGAATACTAAAAGTCCTTTTCTAAGAAAAAGAAGAGCACTTGCCCTGTCCTCGGTTGAACGGATGTGTGTGCACCGTGTTAGAGGTGCAGTCGTGGGGAAGGAATGTCGTTTGGCACTCTTTAATGACAATGCTGCAATACTGGCACAAGCCCAAGAACAGTCCCCATGAGAATGACGGCGGAAGGCCCCCAGGCCTGGAGGTGGGAGGCCCCGTTCCAAGGAGAAATCAGCAGTGGAGAAGACAAGGTGAGGAGATGGCCGCGGAGGGAGACGGGCGAGAGTCACTGTGAAACCATGTTCAGACAGGTGACAGTGTGGCTGGCTTCGTCACAGACGGTGAGCCAGCCATGGAGTGCGTCCAGCCATCAATACATGTGAGATTCTTTGTGACTTGAAACATGGGCCCGAGAGGCAGAGCTGGTGGCACTTCGGATCACTTCCATCCACCTGAAACAGAAGAAGGTGACAGGGCTATTTTGGGCCACTTTATTCAGTTTCATGGTTCTGTGCTGCCATTGGCAAAAACACGATGTCATGGAAGCCCAACTGGTTTGTAATTGGTCATTTTGGCAGCAGAGTTTGTAAGTTAGAGTTAAAACAGAAGGTTCCTCTACGGGTCCCCAAGGAATGCAGTTTGAGAACCATAGGAGCCAGAGGCACGGGAGGCCACAGGCTCACTTTGACCAATTTAGGATGAGGTGGCTTTGGCTGTGTGGGAGAGCTCTACCTCCTGATCTTTTCTGAGGATACTGAATGTTTCCCAACCTGCTTGGTGGGGAATCCATTTTATGCTGTAGTAACATGTCCCCAGGGGTCATTTGGCAAAGTCTGGAGGATTAGCAGCCAGGGCAGCTTCCCCCTCCCCGGTCCCTCTGGTTCAAAGTGTCCGTAGGACTGAGGTCGGGGAGCTGGGCTGAACCAAGCTTCCTCCTTGACGGAGGACCTTCATGCAGCTCCCAAGTTAGACGGATCCAGCTCAGCTCCGTGATCCAAGTCCAGGATCAAGTGTGAGAATCACTATCCTGTGGGCTCGGTGGCAAACTGTTGCTCAAGAACTGTTAGGTCTCCTGGACATTACAAGGCATTGTGTACAGTTCATGATCGGCCCATTTAGTAGTCCTTGTGGACCTGAGCACCCATAGAACTCACTGTCTTAACACCGTGGCCGGGAGACAAGCTGCTCCCTAGGAGGGGCACTGACCTGGCCCGAGTGGTAACTACTGCCCTATCTAGCCTGAGGGCTCTGTCACCAAGGACAGCAATGACAGCTACATCAGAGGTGTGCTATGGAGTGCATTTCCCAGAGGCTCAGAATTTCTATCTAAAAATGTGAATTTCAGGAGTAGCCTCAAGGTGTAGCTCATGCCCAGTGGCCTGGCTCCTTTGTCCACTCATTTCTTGGCTAAATAGCAGACAGCGGCAGAGAGGAGAGCCCTAAGGCATGTAAGCTCTTCCTGCTTCCTGTGGCCCTTTGACGACGGGGACATTCTTGGTCATCGCCCAGTTAGGCGTACTGTGACAGCTGAGCCTAGCA